GCCATGTCTTAATGACATCCTGATTAGTTTGCATCCATTTGATGTTGGATCTAATTTTCTCATTGCCTTGCGGTAAACTTTCTTCGCCCCCCCCCCAACGGAATGATATAGAAAATATATACTTTTAACAGTGTCCACCACCCCGGAAATTTTAGTCCCCCCCTCCCCCGAAAATTTCATGTTCACCCCCCTTTTCCCCCCCCCCCCCCCCTCCGGGAAGAAAAAAGTCTGGAAGAAACACTGAAAATAACGTGGTAAGAAACTCGACTCAAATACATTTTAGCAAATTACACAAAAAGAAAGGGGTTTATTAAAATCTTGAGAATTAAAGATGGGACAAGCTAGAAACAGAGAATTTTTTAAAATTCGATTTAAAAATAGAAAATACTTACCCTCAGAGAAAGAATAACATTGATTTAAAGAAAGAGAACTCTTGATATTAAGAAATGAAAGAACGTGATTTAAAGAAAGGGAACTCAAGATTTTTACAAGGGTAAAATAAATATTCTGTAACACAATACGTATTTGTATTCAATGCGCATTAAATTTTTTTTATTTAAACAGTGAGGAGCTTTTGATAGAAATAGTGCAAATCGTCTTTCACGGGGACGGATGTTTTTGTATAGATAAGTAAATATTTTGTGAGCTTGAAAACTAGACAGAAGAAAATGAAGGCCGTCAAGGTTCACTTAGTATAGAATTAGGTTTGCGGAGGACAGCATCTATGGCGGGTGTTCTGCGGGGGGGGGGGGGAGCACATGAAATATTCGGGGGCTTGGGGTGTCAGACTAAATTTTCCTGGGGTGGGGGGCGGGACACTGGTATAAGTATAGATTTTCTATATAAATTCTATTTCGTTTAGGGTGATGGGGCGGTAGACGGACGTGTTTCGGGGGGGGGGGGGGTCAAGAGAAGCTTGAAAGATTCACACGTTTGTCTGAGTGATAGAATGTAAAGGGGACTAAAATCGTGAGTCTCCAAGGAGACCCAATATAATTGAAGGAGAATTATTGTGAAGATCATTAATTTATCTGAGCCGGTGGTAAAATTCTAATATGTGATTTGAAACTCAATAAGCAAACAGTGAATACACCTAACCCGAAAGTACTTTTTCCCCTTTAATTATATCCTGTTGCTGTGTTTAACGGCCCTTATATGTCATGGGCAAATAAGGTCAGGGTCAGGATTAGGTCAGGCTTACAATCAGGTCTAGTGTTACTCAGGGTAATAAAATTGGCTAAGTTTTGTTAAATAGTGGTAATAAAACTCGAGTTATTTAAAAAAATTACTGTACATTTAGTCAAACTGAAGTATTTTTTCAAGAACGTAAAAACTTACGACTTAATTAAGCACACAGTTGCTTTTATAATATTACACATTTTAAAACATTAAATATCGATACATAGTAATCCGGAAAAAAAAACAGGGACAGCAACCCATTTAGGAGAGACAACTCCAAAATCAAACAACTACTACCTTGTTGTTTGTTCTTTGATGGACACAGGCTATGGAAGCAAATCCAAATTGAAAAGTAGACTGCAATCGGATTCAACGTCCTACATGACGCATAACAAGTTGATACTTAATTGTGTTGGAAGAATCCCGTCCCAACATTACAGTTTAAGAACGAAGAAGTAAGTACACATTGCAATTTATTGTTCATTCAAATGTCAAACTACTATTTTAAATGACCGTATTTTCTAATGCTCGTACTTGGTGAAGTAATAATTGTTTGATTAATATATATTTAACGTATTCGATAGATTATGAGTTTTCAATCAGACGTTCGTCTACTCAAGTTTAGTTTCAGACTTGAGAGGGTAAGTAAATTGCAAAAACAATTAGTTAATTAATTTTTACTCTTACCTAGCAAAGATAGCCCAGAGATATTCACCCGTCGGAAAATGGGGCTCATGCAACGCAACAGATTTAGAACCCCTCCCAAAAGACACAAGGACACTTGGTCTTTTGCACAAAGACGGGACTTATGCAACTCAAGGGATTTAGAACCCCTCGAAAAAGATACTAGGCCACTTGATCTCTTGCTAAAAGACTGGGCTCATGCATCTTAACAGATTTAGAATCCTTCTAAAAACACAAGAGCAGCTTAGGTAAATGTCTTATGGCTGATTGTCCTGTGAAGAAAAGGCCCATTGTGTTCCTTTCTGTGCTGAATGTAGGAGCTATTGGAACTGTTAATACCGCCCACTCGCTGTGCATTTTAAAGTGTTTTTACCTTCTAGTATAAATATTTTTTGTTTGTTCTTTTGAAAAAGTAAAGTCGGTTTTAATGGAAAAGGGGCGCGACGTCATGGCGCCCAAAAAAAGCAAAGAAAATATAAAATGGGGAAATAATAAGTAAAGTCTGCTAAATATTTTAAAATGTATAAATAGCTTGATGAAATATTTAACTGTCTATAAGCTGAAACTAGAAAGCTTTTAAATAGGCACATGGTACTTATATAATTCACCATAGTGCATTTACAGCACAAAAACACAACACCAATTTCGTTTATACCCAACACTATCAATGCTATGTGTTAACACCGAGACACAGCGTCATGTATCAACAATAACTATCATCAACTATATAACAACACAATCAACAGCATCAACAACAGCTGTTAACATAAACTGTAAACACCCACTACCAACACAAAACATCATCGACAACTATCAATCAACACCAACTAGCAACAACAACAACTATGAACAACACAAACTATCATCGCCAACTATCAGCATCATCAACACCAACTATCAACACCATCAACACCAACTATCAACACCATCAACACCAACTATCAACACCATCAACACCAACTATACACCATGAACACTAACTATCAACAACAACCATCAACACCATCAACACCAACTAGCAACACCATCAACACCAACTATCAACACCAACTATCAACACCATCAACACCAACTATCAACACCATCAACACCAACTATCAACACCATATACACCAACTAACTACAGCAACTAACTACAACAACTAACTACACCAACTTGCTACTCTTAACTCTCAACACCACCTGCCTAATCCAACCATTAACACAAACCGTTATCAACAACTATTAACATATACAATCAAAACTGCTTCTTTCAAAAACTACCATTCAAACTATAAGAACATTTGACAAAAAAAAATTCAAATTATAACTTATACAATGAAGACCTATTTG